AGGTAAATTCAAATATTTTTCAAAAATTAAAAAAAATAAAAAATAAATAAATCCATATTGCTGCAAAATTTGCATTTTTATTTTTATTTTACGCTAGAGTAAATAATGAATTGAACTGCTACGTACATACGGACTTAATTTCAGAGCCAATTTAGATCCATTCGAGACGAGCGACGACGAAAAGATCTGGAACATTCTAGAAAAATGCTGTATCAAGGAGGAAATAGAAGCTTCCGGAGGATTGGACGTCCGTGTAAAGGAAGCGGGGACCACATTTTCGGTAGGGCAACGTCAGCTTCTCTGCCTTGCACGTGCTCTCCTCAAATCCTCGAAGGTACTCTCTCTCTATTTTTTATTTTTGTTTTTTCATTTTTTTTAATTAGTCATAGAGGAAGTTAATTTAAAATATTTTTTATTTTACATAGTATAAAAGCATGAAATTTTCCAGGTACTCTGCTTGGACGAGTGCACGGCAAATGTGGATACACAAACGGCTTATAAGCTGCAGAAAGCGATTTCGAGTGAATGCCAAAGCAGAACAATTATCACGATTGCTCATCGGATTTCCACTGTTATGACCATGGATAAAATCTTCATTTTCGACCAAGGGGTTCTGGTATGTACTATTCCAATGTCGTACGGCATTTTTTTTGGGCTTCTCTAAAAATATATTAAAAAAAAATAAATCAAGGGCAATTATCAAATAAAATGTGAGGGGTATTTTAAAAAAAAAAATTGACGTATCAACTCGAATTTCGACTATAAATTGTGGACTTGAGGAGTTAACGAAATGTGGTGCTATCGTTTTTCCAGGTTGAAGAGGGAAATCCACAGTTACTCGTTCATGACGAGTCGTCCCGATTTTCGAGCTTCGCTAGAGCCTCAACAATGTGACATGTGTGTGTGTGTGTGTGTGTGTGTGTGTGTGTGTATATATATATATATATATATACACATATATGGCTCTTTGATGTATTTTTCTAATTTTGCATTCTATAACTAATTGAAAACGAATTATTTGAGAAAATTACAGTTTTCATACATCATGTTCGCACTGTTTTCACATTTGGTTCCTTTTTTTTTTTTAAAAAACGTTTCGTCCTTCATGTTTCAATAATTCTCATGAACCTCGAACCATCTTCTCCCTCCATATGAAGTCCGTACAAAAAATAAAATCCGAAATTCTCGAAGACATTCGGAATTGACGGTATTTTCATCCATAGCACAATTGCATCAAGAGCCCTAGTGTCTACGCATGCCGCGAGCGTAAAGACCAAAACACCTTTCATTTGTAGCACATAACCTCTCCTTAGTGTTCTAAATATTAAGTATCCCAAATGAAGACTTCGGTAATAAATATCCGCGTTTTTTATACTGAAATTATTGTTTAATAATTTGTTCGGATATACTACTCAACCTAGTAATCGTTGGCAACATAATTCGAACCAGAATAAATTAACACATGCTTAGTTGCTTCAATCAATAGATCATTCCTTATTAATTTTGAATACTTTACAAGTTGACGAAAAAAAAAAAAAAAAATGGATTTTCTTAAAATATTGGGAGATCTAATTGAGAATCAAATCAGGCCGTCACGTGAAAGTTACAAATTAAAAGGTGGCCTCAAATCTTAATTAACGGCGATGACATGTGTTAAAAGCTCATAGATTCTTGATAAATTATTTGTTTATATATTTATTATATAGAATAACTAGTTAATATTATAATTTGAAGGTGTACTTGATTTTGGTTCTTCAGCCGAAAGGGTAAAGTAGACTTTTTCTTTGGCAAAGTTCATTCCCATAGTAGTAGGGGACCAAAAAACAAGTGGATTTGCTAATGGCGCGATAATCATTCACATTTAATACACTTTAATTGAATTGATTGTGAATAACTTTAAACACTGAAACGACGTTTATCACATCTCGATCCTGAAATTGGATTGAAATGTTAAATGTTGTTTCAATTTTAATAATATTGTTTTGACTTCGAATATAATTTTAAATATTTTATAGTCTAATTTTGAAAATATTCAAAACACAAAAACTGTAGTGTTTTGAATTAGTTTTTTAATGCAATTTGAATCAGTTAAATTGGATGTCGGGTGACAAAGTTATGCATGGATTTTTTTAGGGGTATTAAGATATAAGTCCCTCGTAACAAAACTTATTATAACTAAATGACAAGTCTAACTAAACTTATGTTTCACATCCTTTACAAATTTCATTCTAGAAATGCCCTTCATATACAAAATACGAAATATGCCCCAAGTAATATTTAAAGTATATTTATCATTTTTTTATTCTGCATTTAACATTTTCACTTTTGCATCTAACATTTTTATTATTTTATTTTTTCGTAGAAATATGTTTTTTTTTTCATTTTCGTATTCTTTCACTATTATAGAAATCTATTTTTTCTCTTTTTTTTTTTTTTTGCATAATATTGAAAATTATGAATTTAAAAAAAAAAATTCGGCCATAGACATCTATAGACACCCGTAGAAAACCATAGGAAACCGTAGTAATCCATAAACATCTCTGATCTCATATTCTTGAAACTCTAGCTCCTCCTTTGAACTCTAGATGCCAGACACTCATAGTAACTCATAGACAACTAAGACATCAAAATCGAAATTTTTTAGATCTTCCCCACCAAACCATAGATCCACCCTCCAAACCCTAGATATGTGACTCCAAGACCACCCACCTCATCCACGCCACCATCGCTAACCCCACCCACGACACCATCGCCTAACCCAACATCAGCATCATCCTCGAACCTCGAGCGCCGCCGCTGGGACAATATCATCCTCAGTGGTCCAACGCCGCGCCACCACAACGTCTCCTCCCATCGTTGTCGCTTCCTTACCGTCATAGTTGTCTTCCCTAAAGCGTCGCCTTCACCGTCGTGGTCGTCGCCATAGCCACCACCTTCCTCAATCATAGAGGGGTGGCGAGAGACAGAGTGAGATTGAGCGAGAGAGAGCGTCAGAGAGAGAGAGAGAGAGAGAGAGAGAGAGAGAGAGAGAGAGAGAGAGAGAGAGAGAGAGAGAGAGAGAGAGAGAGAGAGAGAGAGAGAGGAAAAAAAAGAATAGATCTGATAAAGAAAAACGTAATATTTAGTTTATAAGATTTAGGGTATAAGGGCAAGATTGGGTTATAAAAAAATTAGGGATGTGACTAATATATTATTTCAAATTAAGGATTTAATTAAAAGAATGAATTTAGACTTATCATTTAGTTCAAATTAAGTTTCGTTTGAGAGACTCATGACATATTACCCCTTTTTATTTATTTATTTTGACAATGTTCATTGATTCATCATTATTTTATCAGTCGGTATCCAATCTTGATGTTTCAAGTTGTATTAGAAAACTAACTCAAACAACTACAAAATTTGTGCTTTGAGTTATGTCAAATTAATAAGTCTAAAAAGTAGTTAAAATTACGTCTGAAGTCGAAAAGGTATTTTAAACACCCAAACGACATTTATCACATTCCCGTCTTAACCATATTATTAAATAATACTTCAATAAATGAGTTAGAATTCGTCTTGACCCCATGGTTTTCATTAAAAAACTTATATTCTTATATATGAAGTGAGACCTAATAAACATATTGTCAAGGATATGCTGGACAAGGGTTGGACCACATAATACTTAATATTAATATTTTGAGTATTACAGTTGAACCTCGATAAATTAATAATTTCGTTTAAATTAATAATAGTTTATTCATGTTCCGATTTGTAGTAAACGTATTAAATTATTAGTTCGATAATTTAATATTTTGTTAAATTGATCGAATTTTACTAGTTCTGACTAAATTAATTTATAGAGGTTTAACTGTATCGTCTAACTTTTCAATAACGATGCTTGAGAATATATATGGTACTTTAAATTGATTTATAATATATAGATAAAATATATATGAATGGTTACAATTGTCCCCAAATCTCACTATAATAAAGTGTAAAATGCCAAAAACCCTAGCTAGTGGATTAAGAAAATGTCTCTTTATAACTTTGCAATTGATATTGACTCGTCCAATTATATCTAGACAAAGGTTACAACGATGACCATTAATTTGTTACATCTCCAAATAACTTACAATATAACATGAGAAATTAAACTATAAGTCGATTTTTTTTAATTTAAAAGGGAAACGTAACCCTACAAATTAAGGATCGATCAAAGTTCACGTGGATCGACAAATATAACCTCCGAGGAATCGGAAGATTTATACCAATGATCATGGCAATTATTTTCATCAACTTGTACTCCAAGTCTCTTAATGCACCAAATATCTTCTTCCCATGAAAACCTCTTCCAATGTGGGACCGCCTCTCTTACACGGTCCATGGGCGCCACCTCAGCGACCAAAACCCTTATATCCACGTCATCTTGAGCCATATTATGCACGAATTTGCACAAATTTCTCATTAATCTCGAGCCATCATTTCCCTCCATATGGAGTCCGTACATAAAATGAAAACCGAAATTCTCGAAAACATTCGGAATCGATGGGATTTTCAACCACGGCACCATAGCATCAAGAACCCTAGTGCCGACGCATGCCGCATGCGTAAAGGCCGAAACACCCTTCATTTGTAGCCTATAAACCTCCTTAGTGTTCCAAACGCTAAGTATGGCGAACGAAGACTTTGGTAATAAATCTTCGGTTTTTTTAGGGTTCCATTTCGAGTGCGAATTCTTCGGCAAGGCCATGAAAGTGCCTAAGTTGAGCTTATTGTTTAATAATTTATCAATGTCTTTAGGGAAAAATTCCGAGCAAGAAAATAGGGTTTGATAAATTTGTTCGGATATATTTGGAGGAATTCGAACGATGGTTATATCGGAGGGTAACGGCTTCTGATGGAGATGAATGGGTTGTACTAAAACAGTAGGGTTTCGGAATTTTACGTAGTTGCATTTTTTAATGAAGAGATTTAAGGAGGGTTGGTTGGTTCGTTCGGTGGCCATGTATGAATATTCGGCACCATTTTTTGTGCTCCAATTTTCCAATTCTTGAATGAGTTTCGTTGCGATACCGAGCCTCCTGCATGCAAATATTTATCGTTAATTGATTTTCAAAATTTATTTATTTAAATAAAAAATCAAGGAATTATTTATATATATAAAAATATATATAAAACTTGACAGACCTGTGTGTGGATGAAACCCTAAGGCCAAGAATATAAGCCAATTTCACATAGACTGGAAATTCAGTGCTTGATATTTTCTTTCCACTTGTCACAGTTTTTATGCAGCCCCTAATTACACCAACTATTTCTCCTCCATGCCCATATTCAGCAACCTATATAAACAAAAAAAAAAATATTTAATTTTAATTTAACTTAATTTAATTTAATTTAATATACTTATATTGTTTCATTACGTAACAATAATTAACTAATTTTTTTACCAGCATAATGTGTGAGACGAAGTTCCGGACCCTAGCAATAGGGTCCCCCATGAGGTCGGTGACGAGCGACGGCTTTCCCGGGGGGCCCACCTCGCACCGCCGCTCTAACTCCTCCACCGCCGCCTTGTCACTCCCTCCATCGTACTCTCTCACCACCACCGGAGGAGAATGCTCCGCCGGAAAATTAGCCTCTGCTGCTATTTTCTTGGAGGGCATATTTGGAATATATAATATTATAGATAATAATATAAAATATAATTAATTCTCAAACACCTTGAGGAATTTATGTATGTTCTTAAACTTTCCATATCCATACAATCACTATATATAAGCCCAATGGATTGCTGGCGTGGCAACTTGCTCTTTATGCTAGAAGGCCCGGATTGGTCCATGCCTACCCATCCATATTCCATAAACATTTATTAATATAATATATTAAGAACTCGTTTGGTTGGCAATATCAGATTAGCCAAGATACTAACATTAAATAATTTAATGAAACTCAATTATTTTATTGGAGCTTGCAACGTCCAACAAAAAAAACTCAAGATAAGCTAAGATAAGCCAAGATAAGCCACGATTATATAATTTTGGCGGGTCGACCAGACAATTTATTAAGAATACCAAACATTAAATTAAGTCCAACTATTTAGTTAATCATGGCTTATCTTAAAATTGTATATAATGATTTGTCAAGTAACTAACAATATTAATTTAAATGAGAATTTAATACTCAATCATTTGGTATACTCAAATTAAATTTTCTTTAAATTCAACTTGGCGGTTCATATATTACGTACCCTAATGTGTAGTTCATTTAATATTCAAGTAATATTATCTTACAATCTCAATAAACGCATATAACACGGGCTAAAACCCATATAATTAGGGATGATCTGGCAATTAGAGCAACTGCACTCTTTATCAATTAACATATGTTCGAATCAACGGTCATTGGGTGTAACTCAATTATAACCATAAAAATCAAGTACCACCACTTAAAAGATAGCACATAACATAGGGCAAATTATGGCCAACCCCCTAAAGTAAGATCAAATTACGAAACTTCCTTCTCGTTTGAGTAATTGCAACCAACCCCTCAGCTTTGTATTGTTTTACACGTTCATCTTTACGGTGTCAAATTTAGTTACTAAATGAGAATTTTTTTTCTGTAAGAAAATACATAATTGAAAGGGGTGGTTGTAATTATCCAAACATGAAAGATTTTTTCGTAATTTAACCTTATCTCAGGGGTAACCGTAATATGCCCCATAATATACCATATAGAGAGAAGTTGTTTCAAAGCAATCATCTTAACTAAAACAAAATAAAATATGATTTAAATGGATTAATCTAATGAATGGTGGTAAACTAAATTAAATTAAATTTTCTGCAACGACAAATTAATGAACTATACATACATGCCAACAACACTATACATACATACATACTTATTGCCCCATCTCTTACATGTTCTTTATTGTAAAGAATAAGAATATCTCTTAATAATAAATTCATAAACTCATCACACCATAACGTTTAGCTTTTGTGTGTGTGTGTGTGTGTGTTTTTATTTTTATTTTTTTTCTAATTATTATAAAATTGGTGTGAATATTGGCCAGATATTGTTCCAATTATTGCTGGAGCAGCTTTTTTTTTTTTTTTTTTTTCTTAATTAAAAAAAACAAAGATTATAAAGTTGTCTATCTTGTTAATTTATCCTTATTATGGCAGTGGCGGCGATCGAATATTGATTTAATTGGTTGGATTCTTATATACATTCCCTCTCGCAAATATAAATTAATTGGTTAAATAAATAAATAAATAAAAATGTAAAAGACCACTATGCCCTTTTGGCCCACACCCCAATTGTTAGAAAGATTAAATACTTTTTCCATGCTGACCCTATTGGCTCTTTTAAGTGAAAGTGATCACTCATATATTTATTTATGCAAAGTGGATTATGACATTCGTTATAAGATACCATGATTTAAAAATCCAATTCCAATGTGTTTACATTGTAGATTTGTTCTAAATTCGGTATAATTATATTATATATTATTAAGCAACTCAAAAGAGAATTATTTTTTTCCCTCCCTTTTATTCCATGTATAAATCGTAACGTACAATGCTGTAATTTACAGAGTACGTCTGCGTGTATAAAGTATAAACTGTAATAGTGTAATTGACATATAACAGGCGAACTCAGAAGAAAATGGCTTCATACTTGTAGTCTAGTGGAGCTAAGCTCGAGTAAATTAAATAGTTATAGACACATATCATAGTTTGATTGAAAAAAATTTATTTGCAAAAACAAACAAAAAAATGTCGCAAGAATTGCAATTTGGCCTAGTGTGATCGTGCACGAACCAAGACGTAATCGATGTCATCATACATAAGCCGACACAATGTAACTTCAATTAAGTGCTAAAGTTAATTTCATTTTGTAATAAATATCCATAAAGAGGAGGAAAGATAGCATGCTAAGCATCCACAAATTGCATATTAGAAAGGTGCTTAGCAAGTTGGATTAAACTAATTAGTAAGTATCAATTATTAGGTGTGGGGTTGGTGTGAATGATTAACACTAAACCATAATTTTAATTGGTTATTATTTATTAATTACATGTGGATGACATAAAATTGAGATAAGTGTTGGATGGCTAACAAATATTCAGCTCTTTATATATATATATATATATATATATATGTGTGTGTGTGTGTGTGTGTGTGTTCCTTGAGAATCAGATTCAATTTATTTATTTTCACTTTTAAGCTAAACCTATGATAGTATTCGAATCAATTGACCGATTTCCACTATTCCAATTTTCACACTTCAATTCCCATCGCTTTAATCTTGATAAAACATAAAAGTTGACCAAATATTTCAACTTATAATTATTTCTCTGTAATTAATATTTAAGAATACATGAAAAGAAAGGGAAATTACAGTTTTCATCCCTCAAGTTTGCACCGATTTCATATTTGGTTCTCCATGTTCACAAAATACACATTTCGTCCTTCATGTTCCAATAATTTAACACTTTTGGTCATTTCCGTCAATTTTTCCGTTAGTCCGTTAGTTAAGCCAGTGATGAGCACATGCTTGATTCCGTTAGTTTTAACGGGAAATTGACGAAAAAAGACTAAAACTGTTAATTTTTTAAAACATAAGGGATCAAATGTGTTTTTTTGAACATGAGAGACCAAATATAAAATCGGTGCAAAATTGAGGGATGAAAACTATGTGTGTGTGTGTGTGCGTGTGTGTGTGTGTGTATTGGTGGGGAGTTCGATCGAGTATTGTTTCGCTAATAATCTTACACCAAGTTTAGTTTATTTTTCAATTCTACATATATCATATTTGCTTACACAGAAAAATTTAAAAATAATTTATATGGTAAATTACAATCAACTCCCTTAAGTAAAGTTTAATTATTAAAAAGTCCCTTCCTTTTGAGAAATTACATCCAGTCCCTATGGTTTGTAATTTTCTTTCATTCATCTCCTACAAAAGGGTATTAATGTAAGAAATTTATAAAAATGTTGGGAGGTGGTTGTAATTGTGGGAAAATGAGAAGTTTTTTCGTAAATAAATCTTATCTCAAATGGACGATTGTAATTTACCATAATTTAAATGTGGTATATGTTGATGTGCGTAATTGGATTTCGGCCAAACAAGCCGGATGGAACTACAGTTTAAATAAAAATAAAATTCCATTGATGCTCAATACAAAATTCATGAATCATTCTATGTATATATTATGATTTGCACAAAGATTATTTGATTATCAATCAAAGTATTCCATTCATTTAATTGGCAATATGCTTTTATCACATGGGCTTATGTTTATTTCTATTAATATTTTCTAAATAATATAGAATTATCCTTTTTAAGACACCCAAAAGAAATAATCTTGTCCCTATAAGATTGATTCCCTCTACTATTTTGATATGTGAAATGAACATATATATTCATATTAAATGTATATATACAAATTAAAAGTGGTGTTTATGAATATTCTTCGATGCAATATTTGACATGTTTCAACCTCATTTTATATCATATATATTAATTAATACATATAATTACTTTTTATTTCTTTTTTTTTTCTAAATAAAGGAACCCGCAGTCAACCATATAGGTGCATTGAGTAAATTTAAACTCTTGTATAATAGCTTGCAAACCTTACGTGAGACGTAAACCGCACTGGGTCTAACCATGTGTGACAAGCTTGACCTAGCGACCGTGGACAAGAGAATTTAAATTAATGCTGAAATTATGATTTTCAATTATGATACTAAAATGATAAATAATATGTATTTAATTAAATATAACTGCATTGGATAAATAATGGGATGATCTTCTGTAAGAGCATCTCCAACCATCCCACTTTTGGGATGCTATCTGCTAAAAATAAATTATTATACCATTTATGAACGAAAAATTGAACTCCAACTGGAAGGCTAAATTTTAGCTGGTCAACTAAAATCAATTGTCCAGCTGCTATATATACCAGCTCTTGTTCACATCAGCTAAATGAAAAAAATAATTAAAAAAGCAGTGGGAAAAAAGAAAACTTTCAAGTATAAAAATTAATTTTGGTTTGTAGAAGAAATGACTTCCAGCTACCAAATGCCACATATTTATTCTTAATATATGCTTATAATATTTTATTACTAACATTTAATATATAAATTAATTATTTAAATATTTTTTATTAATATTGAGAATTTGACATTATAACCTTTTGATTTCTATTTATGATTAATTCTTTGGCAGCTTGTATAATTTATAAATACCTATTATAATAGAAAAATTGAGAAGTAATTAAATATAATATATGGTATAAATATAGGTGGTATGATTGGAGTGCAAAATTAAAATTCACCTGCTAAAACACTGTTCCCCACCAATAATAGATATAACATTTGTGTTTTTACCTCACAAGGTTGGAGATGCCCTAAGGCCCAAAAGATTGTACAATTGCTTTCCCAGCCCAGTTTTAGAAATATTGGAGCCCAACCCACTTAGACATACAGGGCCCTTTTGGTTTGCATTATTAGGTATGATGGTATATGTTGTGCCCCATAGTACAATATATTTTTTTTTGAGCAAATTCAAGTTCATTACAAGGGGAGATAGGGAAGGGGGGACTCGAACCCTAGACCGTTACCTTATTGGTAAAGACTAGGTACCAACCCTCCTAATGAGGGTTGGTCCCACAGTACAATATTTGGTTCACATGTTTTGTTATCCTTGACATCTGGCCTCACTGAATTAGTCACCCATTTGATTTATTAGTTATCAAGCCAATTTTGGCTTGACAGTTTATCCCTTCAATTATCTCACCATTACACAATTTTCGAAAATACCCTTACATCATACAAAAATTATATATTTATAAAAAACTAAATTAATTTATATTTATATATAATTTTTTTTATCTCCTATTTTGCAGCTATTTTTTTCTAATTACTTTAACACTAAATCTCGGCTAACACAATCATAATCCACTATATCTATATTTTTTTTAATTATTATTGTTATTATTTTATCTCCTATTTTCCAGCCTATTTTCTCTATAAAAAATTGCTGCATTTATTTAATGATCAATTTCATATTATGACAATTAAGTTTTTATAGTTTTTTTTGAATGAGTTTGTATTATTAAATTTGTATAAATGTTAATGTTGTTACCGATATTACTAATAATTTTTTCTATAATTGTTATTATAATGTATTAAACTAATCATTATTTTAATTTGAAATGATATCTCGTGCGATAAATGCTAGTTACATATAAATACTCAACTCACCATTAAATTGTATTGTGATAGCTATTTGATTATTATACAAATTATCACATCAAACTCACGATTAATTACACAAAAAATGCATGAACATCTAAACGGAAAAAAGATACTCAGATTAGTTCAACTAATTCCGCAAACATAAATTGTGCAAATATACCCTCATGTATATCATATTGAATTACTACAAAAATATCGGAGAAATGACTACAAAAATATCGAAGAAATGAAGATAATTAAAAAAATAATGTTAGTGCATGACCAAATTAATTATACATAATGACCAAATTAACATGTACACGCGTAATAACGAGTTTGAAAGACCACACATATTAAATATGGAGATACAAATAGTTCAAATTCCAAACAATAAGGCTTCACTTGTATATGTAGGTAGACATGGTTTCGTACCCGTTTTGCGCATAGTCAAGAACCGGCGATCTGGGTTGGCAGGGGTCCAAGAAGTTTGTAAGGCGAGTTGTAAACCGCAATCACAAAATTGTTGTTACTGGCCATTTGAATAGAATCCACCATACCCGTTGCTGCTCGAACTCCTACGCAAAGTATTGCTATTGGCGCTTATACGGGGAAAACAATTGTAAAACGGGATACAATAGTCGGGATTTTTTCTTCAATTATCGAAGGAAAACTTAGGTTTAGGATTGAAGGGGCTGGAATATGAAAGAGGCGTATGACTGGTAAATATTGTATTTCAGGGCATTATAGCCATTTTGCAAATAATCCCACATTAAACTGGTTTATCACCTATACAAAACACGGTATTGTTCATTATGGGATTATTAGTTTCAGCCCAATACAACCAACCAAAAGTCATACTCAGTATTGTGAATCAACAGTTTAATCTCAATACTACATATCCCATCCATACCTATCTATCCAACCCACCCAACCAAAAGGGCCCACAGGGTCTTAAGAGGAATAAATAAAGGGTAAATAGCATTTAACCCCTATGGTTTGAACTTTGTGCATATGACCCCTTGTACTATTTAATACAGCACATGACTCCCTTGTACTTTCAAAAATTTCTTATTCTTAATATGAGCATGATTATTTACCAAGTGAAATACCATAGGGGGTTTATGTGTTTATATTAAAAGTACAAGGGGGTCATGTGCATAAAATTCAAATTATAGAGGGATCTTTGTTTATATTGAAAGTACAAGGGGATCTCATATGCAAAAAGTTCAAGAGACGTGGGATTAAGTGTAATTTACCCATAAATAAATAAAACCCAATTAGAACTGCCAATGATCCAAGTCAGCAATAAATAAATAAATTAAATTGAGGTATAAAAGAAATTGAAATGTTAAATGTCGTGTCAATTTTACTAATACATTTTTGATTTGGAACATGCTTTTAGTCATTTTTTTTAATCTGATTTTGGCAAAGTTAAGAACACGGAAACTATAATCCTTTGAGTTATGTTTGTCATTCAACTAGATTGGACGTTGTCGGTTGACAAAATTATACATAAACCAATTGTGTTTTGAGCTTTGTCAAATTTACCATCGTAAATGATCAAAATCAGGTCTGAAGTTAGATTTATCATTTTACACTGTTGCAACTGATTTACAGTACAAATTTAGTTCTTGTATTAGAAAACAGATGAATAAAAGTATAGAACCAGTTTTTTTTTTTTTTTTTTTTTTTTTTTTCACTATTAACAATTGTTTGTACAATTTTTTTTCTTTTCAAATCAGTCCCTAGGAAGAATAAAGAAAATTACAAAAATTTATATAAATTTATAAAAATTTATAAAAATTTGACTAGAAAATAGCCAGGGGCATGCTGAAAATCTGGACAGCATTTTTAACAGCTTCAACATCTATATCTTCAAGCTTCCCAGTCTTTGATGTAATAACAGCACATTTCTTCTCTTCCGGATTCGGAACGAATACCTTCGCCTTATCGTCCGAGCTGAACAATGCCACACTACAAAAAAAAAAAAAAAAAAAAAAATCACGGTCGGAAAAAAATGATTGTATCGTACTTCAATTTAAGTGTTATATTTTTTGTAAATTTAGATGCATCGACCGTAATAATTTTATTTACCTTGGTTTTCCGCGTGCATGCGCAAGTTGTATAGCGATCGTATTTGTAGCTATGACTCCCGCAGAGTCGTTTATAAGAGCAGCAAGCTAATACAAAGCCCAACCAAAAGGTGAAGAAACATGTGGTAGAGCCAGCATAGGGCTACGAGGGGGCCATGGCCCCCCTCACCGCTTCTCAAAAAGCTAGCATTTTATATAAATATCTTTTTTTTTTTTAAATTATAGATAACATTCCGAAAATCGGTTATTATAGATATGTGAAGAACGCAAACCTGGCCAGGGGTGGTAATGAACACAATGCTAGCATCTTCACCGACGAAATCTTCCACGTTTTCCCTTTCTCTCTCGTGCGGGATCACGAATACCGGAGTGAGTCCCCTGTTTTATATTTATTCAAAAATCAAGACAAATTTAAATTAAATTTAGTAAATTGATGAAATTTAATTTACTAGCAATTATGTATTAAATTTGTCAATATTTATCCAAACCTTATGACACAAGCAATGTCATCCCATATCTCAATAGGCAGCAAACTATCAGTGTCTCCCCTGGATTGCATCAAAGCCTTCGAATCCGATTTAATTCCGTGAATTACGATATACTTCCCCTTCGATACACCGGCGTTCTTATATTTTGCCTCCACCACCTCCTTCACCTTCCTCGAAATCGACACTTTCAGTGGCGGCACCACCTGCCTCGGGACACTACGGAATGGTCTAGCCAGCCAATCCACCATCTCACCATACCTAAATAATTCCCACGAAAAAAATAATGTCACGTGCAAGACTATCAAGAAAACAAATAAGAAAAAGCATAATATCGGGTATAAATGTTTTTTTTTTTTTACATGTTGTAACCGCCCTCGGATAAATTAGCGGTATCGGGTGTAAATGTTTCTGATAGAAATAGCCCCGCTCCTGCGCCATTTGCGTTCGGATAAACGTAGCTAACTCGGTCACGTGCACTAGACATGAACAAGAACGCTGCATGGCCTATCCCCGCCAATTTAGTCGACAAGATCATATCGTAATACCTTCCCTGCAAAAATAGTTGAAAAAATCGGCCTCCGATTATCGTACTCCGGTCATAATTTAAGGGTTTATTGCAATCATAACTCCTGAATTTACTCTAATTGTTTTAAAAAAAAAAGGCATACTACAGCCACCCCTGAGGTGTGGTCAAATTACGAAAAAAACTCATCATATTTGGGGTAATTACAACCAACCCCTCAATTATGTATTGTCTTACGAAAATCCCCTATCTTCATTAGGTAAATTTTGACACTGTATGGGTGGACGTGTAAGACAATACATAGTTGAGGGGTGGTTGTAACTACCAAAACATGAGGGGTTTTTCACAATTTAACTATACCTCAGGAGTAGCCGTAATTTGCCAGAAAAAAAACCCTCATCTTATAAATATATAAAAAACCTTATGATTCAATTTATTTTAGCAAAACCACCCCTAACTATTTATATCATTTAAGGGCCGTGTGATAAAATAATGCTACTTAGGGATCTCGTTCTAATATTTATAACATGGAGAATTTTTTAGCAATTCGATATAACACTAGGATTTATCGCATTCAACGTCCCTGCATTTAGTATTATTGTTCAAAAACTCACCATGCCATTAATATTAACAAAAAAACCCCATGTCAAATTTTATTAGCAAATTGCCCCTAAAAAGCAGTATTTGAGGGAATTATGTGCTAAAAAATTGCAATATAGGGGATTTTTTTGCAATATCTCAATTGTTTTTTTTTTTTTAAATTATTACTCCCTCTGTTCCATAATATTGTCTTTTTTGAGAATTGATTTTGTTCCATATTATCTGTCAGTTTACAATTCCAATGCAGCATTAATTGGTTATTTTTCAATTTTACCCTTATTAACTATGCAACACTCTTTCTGCATTAATTAATAAACAATGGTATTTTGGTCCATCAATATATACTTTCCTAAAATCAAGACATATTTATTGAGATTCAAGACATATTTATTGAGATTCTTAATATTTGTGCCAAGGTGAAAAACGACACCTATTTAGAACGGAGGAAGTAATAAATTACAAACCTTAATTAATCCAAGCATGTCAGTATATTCAGCCGGGTCAGGATAATCATCGTCCACATCATACTCAGTAGCCCACCGCACATTCTTGTTGATCTCGTAAGCCTGCTTCCCTCTCGCCGACGTGATGACGTCAATCTGCACGCCGGGGTACCTGTCCTTGATCAGCTGAATCGCCGGAAAGAAGAGAATATTCTCGTAGACCCCGCCGGAGACCACGCAGCAGCACCGCCGAACGTCGCCCCTGATCTTCAGCCCAAGCGAGGCGACCTCCACCGTGTAGCCCATCGGAAACTTGAGGAACCCGTACGGGTTTCCCGGGTTGTCCGGCGGGCGTGGGTCCTCGTCCTGCTTGCCGTCGGAGAACAGCTGGCCGTACTCCATCTCCGGGTCGTCGCCCTGCTCGAACGGGTCGAGCCATCGGTTGTTCTTCTTGGCGGCGGGTCGGGTCAACGACGACGACCCGGGTTTTCTTGAGGAGAGAGATGATTGGTTGTTGAAGAAGGAGAGGTTTGTGAAATGGGTTAGTGGGATTGATGAAGTTGTTGGGGTTGTGAGGAATTGTGGGATTGTTTTTGGGTGCAGAGGAGTGGCCGCCGCCATTGTTCAAGAATTGGTGAGAAGAAATAGTTGGGTGGTGGCAGATAAGAGTACTGTAATAAGTCATGTTGACAAGAGGTGAACGTTGGATTTGAATGTGTGAAAGATAGTTGGATAAGAGGGAGAGGGTCCATCTATACTATTTATATAGAGACGTGCTATTTCCACCCTCAAAATATCTTATTTCACCACCAAATTAAATATTTTTCCAATTTTACCCTTTTCTTCTTCTTTCACCTATATTTTTTAATATTTATAAACCATCTACCACTAAATTAATTAAAATATTTATAAAAAAAAAAAATCCCACCCTTTTCACGGGAAATCTCACCCTGTCCACCGTAAGTGAATAATACTTTTACGAGAGAAAAACATTTTCGAAGGTCAAAAAGAGCAGAAATTCACTTTTTTTGAGAAATAAATTAAGATTGATTGCATGGAAGGTCCTGAACTTCCTCAAGAATTAATCAATTTAGCTTAATATAATTTTATTTCCTAAAAAAAAAAAATTACATAATCTGTTTGTCATCTGATATGAAAGTCTAAAAATCTTGTAAGAAAAATTTCATTGTAAAAAAATGAAAACATAATAATTTTTTTTAAATTAAAAAAATTAAAAATTAATAAAATAAAAATAAGTTAGAACACATGAGAATTAAGTTAATATAAGGAAGGGTGGTGGATTATAAATTTTAGGGGTACTTATGACATTTTACAATCTTCGGTGGTGAATTGAGACAATTTGGTGGTGGAAATAGCACCACTCTTTATATATATGAGTAAACTGCAAAAAGTACCCTTATGTAACCTCTAAATAACGAAAACCCCCTTATTATAAATAAACTAGCAAAACCCCCCCTGTAAAGTTATTTAAATAGCACACTCAACCCATTTATCATTTGAGTGTTGACTTCATATAAAAAGACATAAATACTCGCGGGATTTTGCAATTAATCAATTCTTATATTTTTTAAATATTTTAATTATTTTATTTTTGTCATATCTTAATTATAAAGGTACAATGGGGTCTTTAATTTATTTTTATTTTTATTATCACATAGTTTTTGTATATATTTTAAATTATCGCTACATCAAAAGAAAATTTAAATTCCGTTATTATATATTTAAAAAAATCTATACTTAATTTGTTTAACAAATTTTTAATAATTTTTAGTTTTAATTATTTAATATTTTTCAACAATATTTTAATTTCTAAACAATCAAATTAAAAGGAAAATATATATACATACAATATATATACATATAGATACATTTTTAGGGACAATTTCGTCATTTCACGTCTAAAGACCTACTACCAGTCGCGCAACCCGCGAGTGAGCCACACTTAAGTCAACCCGGGGGGTTTTGCCTTTGACTAAATTTCACAGGGGGGCTTTTGCTAGTTTTTTTTTATCACAGGAGGGTTTTTGCTATTTGGATATTACACATGGGTACTTTTTGCAGTTTACGCTTATATATATATATATATATATATATATATATATATATATATATATATATATATATATATATATATATATATATATATATATATATATATATGGCGGTTAGGGACCGGCACGGCGGTGATTTATCGAAAATAAATCGGAAATAAATCGATATTTCTAAATATTATTTGTAGATACTCAAAATATATATAAAAAGGTATTTAAACATAATTCGATCCTATCATTCATATGTTATTATATAATTCTAATTACTCAAGAAATAACAAAAAAATAAAAATAATAAGATCATAATATGATAAAAGATTCTTACGAAATACAAATACTACGCAAATATTTTGCATCAACAATTAATATAAACACAACAAAGCATAAACTCATGTTTTGGGTTATCGTCAAGTTCTTCTTTCTTGCCAGTTACAAATTGCGGGTAGTACCTGGTTTGGTTTTGGAAGTTGAAAGAATTGGAGAAAAAAAAAAAAAAAACATATTTTCATTTTCATTTAAATTTAAAAAAGAAAAAAAAAAAAAAAAAAAAAAACGATTTGTTGGCCGATATATCGGTTTGACCCGCCAAAAAACCGCCGCAAACCGTCTCGCCGTAAAAAACCGATATTTCAAATATATATATATATATATATATACATATATATATATATATATATATATATATATATATATATATATATATATATATATATATTACAACCACCATGAGGTATGGTTAAATTACAAAAATCTCCCTCTTGTTTGGGTAATTATAAAAAAACCCATCAACTATAATTCTTCTTACACGTCCACCCTTGCGGTTTCAAATTTAGTGGAATCTTCGAGATTATATGGAATATTATCACTTTTGTACCCGTATCATCCCATTAAAACTCCACATTTTGAAGCAAGATAATTGTAATATGTGATTTTTGGCTTGTATATATCAGATTGTGGTGCATCAGAAACTGTATTTTTACACAAAACGAGTACAAACTAGAGCACATTCCACAAAATCTGGATGATTATCTTGAATTTAACACCATAATGGTGGAGATGTAAGAAAAAAACATAGTTGAGGGGGTAGATGTAATTATCCAAACAAAAGGGTTTTTTTTCGTAAATTGACCATACCTCAGAGGGGTGGTTGTAATTTACCACATATATATATATATATATATATATATATATATATATATATATAATTTCTTTTTTGTGCGACAAGGGAACTAGGTGTATAAATCGAACTGTTCAGGTCATGTGCAACGAATTTGACCTTTAACGCATGGTAATAGAATCGAACTCGTCTCACTAATCTTTGGGGCAGACGATCTTCCACTAGTTCGTTTATAAGATAAACAGATTATGGAAACATTTCTATTCTTTTAATTGGTTACATAATAGATACACTCTCACTTCCTATATAAAATCTACGAGTATGATCAAATTACGAAAAAATCTCTCTTGTTTTGATAATTATAATTAGCCTTCAACTATGAATCTTTTTATATATCCACCCTTATGGTGTCAAATTCAACATAAACTTCTAGATTTCGTCGAATGTTCTCCAACTTGTACTCGTTTTGTGCAATAATGCAGTTTCTGATGCACTAGAATATGATATATACAAGCCAAAAAACACATCTTATGATCATCGTGCTTCAAAATGTGGGCTGAAATGGGATAAAATGGGTACAAAATTGAGAATATTTCGATTCTACTAAATTTGAGAGGTGATTGTAATTACTCAAATAAAAGGGAATTTTTCGTAATTTCATCTTAGCTCGGAGCCCATAATTTACCTAAAATAAATAAAATAAAAGTAGAAAAAAGAGGTTGCCTTGCCTTATTGAGGTGGCAAGCATTAAATGGTTCATTTTCTGGCTTTCTGTGTACGTAAACGCTGGGTCTCAACACTCCTCTCTTTCTCTCTCTACTTTCACTCTCTCTCTCTCTCCTCAGAAAATATCTCAACTATCCGTAATTAGCAGTTCGCTGATCGAACCGCCGCAGCAATATCTCATCCCACCTGCCCCGCCGGCTCCACCACTCCAGCCTAGCTCCACCGTCCCACTGCTCAAAATCAAGTTGCATTGTCCTTTCTCTCTCTAGGGTTCGTCTCCCCTAATTAGTGATTACCATCACCAGTCCCACCACAGTATCGCTCTCAACTCCCAAACCCTCACTTGGAAAAACCCCTAATTTTGCCCGACTACATGATTTTTCCGGTGATTAATTTTACGAAACCCTAACTCCGGTCAGTGATCATGTCCGGACCGCCGAGGGTGAAATTGATGACTTCCGCCGAACTGGAGGCTCGACCGGTGCTCGGACCGACGGGAAACAAAGCCAGATCCGTCGAATTGCGGAAGCCGATGCTGAAGTCGAAGAGCGAGAAGGCGCAGAGGGCCCAGGACGTTGACGATTCCAAGGGTAAAAAGTCTCCGACGGCATTGCAGTTGCCGGAAACGAAGCCCGAAAAAATTCCGTCGCCGGTAGGTTTTATGAAGAATGGGAGAAGTGCCGCCTCGTTTTTTATGCAGCGGAGTATGTCGCTGAATGTCTCTTGTTCTTCGGACGCATCGTCCGATTCTTCCCACAGCCGGGCATCCACTGGGAGGATTAGCTGGCGGAGTGGGACTCCGACGCCGCCTTTGAAGAGGAATCAACAAAGCAGCTTTAAACGGGAGAGAATTGAGAAAATTGTTGGGGGTGAAGGTGAGGTGGTTGATGGTGCTGCTGTGGTTAAGAAAAGGTGTGCTTGGGTGACTGCAAATACTGGTATAATTTTTTTTAACGCTTCTTTCACGTACTGGAGATAGTTGTTTTGTTGCTCTTATTTGATTTTCGGTTTTACTTGTTCCTTATGAATATTATGGTTTGTCGTTAGCGGATATTAAATGTTCGAATTTCAGTCTACATGTTTTGTGTTAATAGATCTGAATTCGGAGATGAGTTTGCCTCAGAATTCGGGGTTTTGGGTTCGTAGTGTACATTCTCATGAATCTTTTGATGGAGGGCATTTCTTGAACTTTTTCTTGATGTTGTCTCAAGTTTGATAGCGAAGGAATCGGAAGTGCACGATTAAATCCATTCGGTGATAAATCTTTAGCCTACATTGCAGTGTTACAATAGCAGAAGCAACTAAGAATCCAGTACTGTCGTTGCTGTTTTGTGTTCGTTAGTGTCGGATGGTAGTTAATATCCGTATACGTCACTGTTTGTCCATTTACGGCCAATAATCATGTCGTGAACTGGAGTAAATTAACCCTAAAACAAATATCCGTTGACTGGGTATTTTTCACTAATGGAGTTATCACATTTGCTACTAATTGTTGAAGTGTCAGCTGAAATTGTTGAGTGAAAGAGAAGTGGGCTGGGGTCCTAACTCAACTGTAAATGCACATGACCGAATACCTGCCAGTTTCTTAAATATTCCTTTGTTAGAATAACCCTGTTTAGAACCTCCCCATATCTTGGTTTTAATGTGAAGAAACCAAGTTATAGAAATTCACAGTTGTCTTTTACGAGGTAATAAATAAAAAAATTAATTTATGTTGGGAAATAAATTTGTCGTGTTCCGATTTATTTATTTTTTTGCTTGAAGATGCAGTGCACTTCTGTTTAATTTAATGCTTTCGATCTAGTTGTTATTCCATTGATTTATTTTAGATGCTATGTCTTTGACACGTATGCAACTGCTGCTGTAATTCCTTGTTTTGATTGGTCTTTATTTTCTTCAAAGATCCATTGTATGCTGCTTTCCACGACGAAGAATGGGGACTTGCTGTACATGATGACAAGTAATTCTGTTAACTAATTTACTTATTTCATTAGTCACTTACTATTAGTTAACAATATTATATTATGGTTTCCTCATTTTACATTTACCAACTTCTGACTACACACAGGAAACTTTTCGAACTGCTTAGCTTTTCCACTGCATTGGCTGAACTAACATGGCCGGTCATTCTTAGTAAAAGGCACTTATTCAGGTATATTGACATTTGCCCTGCTAATATACATACAAACAAAATGATTGCACCTATTAGGCTATTTTCACTAATCATTATGGATTTGTTGGAATACAGAGAAGTCTTTCTGGATTTTGATCCAAATGCCGTGTCAAAATTAAATGACAAGAAAATCGCAACACCAGGAAGTCCTGCGAGCTCTCTTCTGTCGGATTTAAACCTGCGAGCAATTACTGAAAATGCACGTCGAATTTGTAAGGTATGCACCGAGTCCTTTTGCCTAACTGCATTTGGTTGCTCTTGTCGAATAGTGAATTTAATATTGCATTCATATAAATCATAGTTTTCCCGAAATACAATATTTTTTTCTCACTTCTCCGGGATGAGGATTGTCTTGACAAATGAGCAAGAAATCATTTACGATATGTAATCTAGTTCCATGGTCAATTTTTCAGCTCTGAGATTGCTTATGTCTGATAAGTGATTGGAATATTACATGAGATTGCTTACTTACGCCTCGTTTGGTTCCCAAGATAAGATTATGCAATCAGATCCCAATTGTGAAAAAACAACTAGGGAAGGTCCAATACACAATCCCGTAACAAGCCAAGATAATAGCCATTTTTCCATAATTGCGGCTGGCCCGAATAGTTAATGCACTAAGAAAAATTAAATAAGACCTAATCATTGAATTAATTGTCCACCCTACAAGTATTAAAATCATTAGCCTGATAGTTCCTATGTTTGACTGATTATGCAGATTATAGATGAGTTTGGATCTTTTGACAAATACATTTGGGGTTTTGTGAATCACAAGCCTATTGTTGGTAATTTCCGATATCCTCGTCTTGTTCCGATTAAGACATCAAAAGCAGATACAATAAGCAAAGACCTCGTTAAAAGAGGATTTCGAGGAGTTGGGCCCACAGTTGTCTACTCGTTTATGCAAGTAGCTGGGATTACAAATGACCACCTCATCAGTTGTTTCAGGCATCGTGATTGCATAACCGCATGCGATTTAAGTGACAAGAGTAACGAGGGAATAACAACGTCGAAAAATGAAGTGAAATCTCTTGACAATATAACAGAGATGGAATTAGTTAGAGATATCAATGATGTGAGTTTGTCCAGGTAGCGTCTTTTTTTTTTTTTTTTTTTTCTTTTTTCTTTTTTGTGGGTTGTTCACATTTGATGAATATGTAATCTATTATGTGTAGTATGTCACACACTTGTATCTCCCAACTGACAATTATGTATAAATCTTCATAAATTAATTTGTTCGTTTCTTGGCGATCATACTATAGTAGCACACTGAGGTGCAGAGGATAATTATGTGCAAAAGGTCTCAAATCCCGATAACTCTTCGGTTCTAGTTGCAATACATTTCGAACGCTATTGAATTGTTCTTATTTTGGGTAATATTCTTCATATGGTTGTGTAATAATTCGGGTTGAGTTTCGACTTAATATCTTTTCATAGGTTACATGAAAATTTGGGTTCATTTTTTTATCATACGTTCGAAACGACACAAAATAACGATAAGTAACTAATGCATCACTCGGGTTCTAAAGCCACAAATAATCTGAAACGTTTAAAATTTTCCGTGACGGATTATTTGAAACAGAGGAAGCCATGTAATTTAAAAAAAAAAAAAAAAGAAAACGCTCAAAATTTTTCGCGATTTCAAATGAAATCGCGGGTTCGGTTAACTTGAAGAACTCTCAACAAGAAATACTAATTTCCCAAAATTGTTTCCTATTTTGGTGCTAAAACACTGATTCAAATTTCACGCTCGATAAATTTTCAATTTCGACAGTCTCGAATTTGCATCCAAAAAAAAAAAAAAGAAGGAAAATGTACAGCTGCCTCCTTTTGATCTCTCTACCATTTTTCAGTCTGATTATTCTGTTGAAGAAACTTTCCAGAAATAGCAGCCGCTAAGGCTGCTTTAAAACTCGGATCTTTCGTTAAGGTCGAAGCCATCTGTTCCACAAAGTACTGTTGAAGTTCTGGTGCTTCAACTCTGCCTCTTACATTTCTTGATTCTTCTGGACTTTGCTTTCTTTTCGTGAGATCGAGCGTAATCGTGGATCCTGCCGTGGACACCGCGTTGCCAAGTGGCGAGCTCCTATTGGTGGTCGAACTCGCCTCGAGTTTTGAGGCGGGCTGAGGCTGGTGGTGGTGGTGGTTGTGCTCCCCTTCATAAGTTGCAACCACTATTGATTGATCTTCTATACTTCTTTGAACCTATAACAAATAAAAAAAATTAAACAACTTCAAAACTAAATAAATAAATATGATTAATAATTCAATTTAATAAAAAGATATGAAAAAATAATTACCTTCTTTTTGACAGGACAAGTAGGAGCAAAAGAACACTTGAAGTAAGCTCTTGGAGAAGGGTTATCCCTAGTAACCTTCTGCCCATATTTCCTCCATTGATAACCATCTTTAACTATCTGCCAATTCCGACAAATGCGTCGTTCTTTCAGTACACGACGATACAATTCGAAAAGGAAAAAAAAAAAAAGACTATCGAAAAAGTCAACTACATTAGAACCTCGATAAATTAATAACATCATTTAAATAATAGTTTCTTCTTGTCCCGACTCGGTAAAAACCTACTAAATTATTAGTTCGCTAAATTAATAGAATTTTGCTCGTCCACTAACCCTATTAATTTATAGAGGTTTAACTGTATATATGAAAATCTCAAGACTTACAAGGCTTGTATCGGATGCTTCGGTTCGGATTTGAACCCGCGAAATCTTGGCCTTGATGAGTTCCTCTCTCGGTTTCTTCGACGAATCTTCTTCGCTCGAGCTGCTCTCGGAATTGCCATTGGTAATAATATTATCCGTTACATTATCTATACTGTTGTTACGTATGACGGCTTCGATTCTCCTCTTCGGCGATTGGGTGTTCTTGTTTGTTGTTGTGTACTTGATCAACTGATTCTTGAGTTCAGTGTAATTCTCACACGTGGCAGTTAGCTCTTCTTTCAGCTTCTTGTTTTCAGCACTCACCCTACTTAGCTCCTCCATCAAAGCCCCTCTCTGATAAATAAATAAATAAATAAACAAGAAAATCAGCTTACTATATATATATATATACATATGGTGTGCTGTCAAGAACCCTAGTGTGTGTTGTGTTTTTTTTCTTTTCTTGATGTGTTGTAATAAAAGAGATGGTCACCTCTTCTGAGACAGTTGCAATATGATGATGATTCCTTCTATCGGCTTCTTGTTTTCGAAAATCGGGTTCGTCGAAGATTCGTTGAGGATTGTAGTTAAGATCCAATGAAGTATTGAGCAAACTTGTGAATTCCATTGAATTTTTTTTTTTTTTTTTTTTTTTTTAAGACAAGTTTTTGACAGTGTTTTTTGTTGGTTTTGTGTGTGTAATGTGGTTTTTTTTCAGCAGTAATCAAATGAAGAGAAGATATATGCAGGCTTATATAGAAATAGACAAGAGGCCGCCGCCCCCCACAAGTTGTGGGAAGGTGGGTAGGAAAATGGGGTTTTTATTAATTAAGAATAATAAAAATAAAATACCCACATGGAGAGTTGTAAATTGGAATCATATGATACATGGATATTACTTTATACAAATTGTATGAAATAGTAAAACCTTATGTCGGTTATAATTAAAAAAAAAAAAAAAAAAAAAATTGGTAATCCATCGATTGTAGGGGTAGAAATTTCGAAAAATTTCGACTGAGGAACAATGTTTTTCACCTGAGTTTTGAAAGTTTTGATTCTTTCGATATTGTTTGGATCAGAGTTGGAATATGTACGAGATTCTGATTTTCAACCCGATTTAGTTTTTTTTTTTAAATAATACTGAAAATTCAGTTTTTATTTTTTCGAAATTTACATTTATAAATAACTACTCATTAAACACACATACATATGTGTAGGGCTGTGCATGGATCGGTTTTAACCATCAACCAACCCATTTTCGACCCACAATTTGTGATGGTTAATCAACCATCAACCGACCCATTTAAGTTGGGTCGATAATGTCAACCAACCCATGTATAGTTGGGTCGATAATGGTTTCTAATATGCTAAAAAGTTGGTTAGTCGGTTAATATCGGCCAACCAACTTTATTCATTAATTTATTATTTATTAATTTTAATTAAAATATTTAATATTTTTAATTTCAAATTTCTATTTTATATCACATTTATTAAATTGTTTAATATTGACCAAAATCCTAAAAGCAATAAATCTAACATAATTATCTAATTTGAACTATTTTAATTTTAAGACATACAGTCTAAATATTTGGACGATTATTATTTGTTGAACTATTTATGTTTAATTGCAATATATATGCCCGTAATGTTTTGAATCTTTTATTTGAATATTATTGAACTAGTCGCATTTAATTTATAAAAGATATAGCGTTGTAACAAGTAATAAAATATTAAAAAAAAATTAAAAAATATTTAGATGGATGACCCATCAACCAAACCACCAACCAACCCATTAAATTGGTTTTCAACCATTACCCAACCCATGTAAGTTGGGTCGATAACGGTTTCCAATATTTACCAAAGTTGGTTGGATGGGTTGGGTTGGTTTTATGCCTGGTTTTTAACCAAACCAACCAACGCACAGCCCTACATATGTGTGTGTTATTTTATGAAGACCTGTAATATAAAATTACATGGTGTATTTTACCAACCAAATGTATAATATACCCTACATAATTATAGTTAATATTTTTTTTTCTAAAATTAGATTAGTATACAAAAGTAATAATTGGAAATCAACCTTCATTTAAAGTAGTAGTATTAATAATTAATAAATAAAAAGAAGAAGAAAAAATGGCAAAGGAGAAAGGGAGAAGACTTTCAAAACATGGGGTATTGAATTCATATATATCTTAAAGTCAAAGTCAAGCCCACCTTTGGAAGAAGAAAAGAAAGGATATGAAAATGGGTACCATACCTCATAAATATGACCTCTTAATTAATTAATTAATTCGTACTCATATTTGGGTAGGTAAATAACTGAATTACATAAATTTTATGTAAAAATATTTAAAACGAGGGGTGACTGTAATTGCCCCTAATTAATTAATTGAAGGAGTTGAACTCCTATTTTGACCAATCGGCAATCACTATATATGGTCTTCATTATTTAATACTAATCATTTATGAATATACAGTCTTTTAGTATGAGTGAACTACTTTATCTTTTCATTTTTGTTTTTACATTTTTGAGCTTGTTTTCACATTTACGCGCATTTTCCACGTTAAGTTCTTCGTTTTTTAATTAAATTAAGGTGGAGTTTGTTGTACTTTAATTAACGTTATGAAAACAAAAAGCTCTTATTAGAGGTAATGTAAATTAATATTTTGCTAAATTAATAGAATTTAACTGATTTTTACTGTATGAATTTATAGAAGTTTGACTGTACAATTTGCAGATCAATTTTTTGATTATCTTAACACAAAAATAATAAAATATTATTTGTAAGAGTTATCATGACTAGTGCAATTATTCTCAATAATACTTGTCGCCGATATTCCTTCTTTTTTATTGATTTATTCTTGCAAATTGAACCCTTATTTATTATCTTGGACTTATTATGATATTATCTATTACTTTGAAGACTTTAATTGAAAAATTATATTTCATGGACCTTGTATTTTAAAAGGACCATATATTTACAATCTCCACAAAAATATTTATGTTTAATTACCTACAGTCAAAATTTCAACAATAAGTTAATTATGTTCTCCGTTCATCTGTGCATTGAGATCCTCATACTTTGTTTTAATCTATATTAAAAATATTTTCTGTCTCAACTGAAAAATCAGCGCTCACCAAATTTTCATCTAACCTTTTGACGCAGATACAGTAATACGAGAAGTCAAGAAATTTATCGACTCGAAAAATCAAGAAATACGGGAGAAGTGTATTGCTATTGAACTAATCTTTGTCATTTAAATTTCTACAATGAAGTCCAACTCAAGGATGCAAGTAGGCACACTAGTTATAAATGTAGAACACACATTTGACCTTTCACTTAGAAATATTCCAATTTCTATTTTTGAATTGTACATGCAAATCTATGTGCTTCAATTTCTAGAAGAAAAAGAAAATAATAAAAACCTTAAACCTTACCAAAACCTTATAAAAGTTGAGTTATATGGCTTTCTACATTGGATTAAATAATAATAATATATAATTAACAATAATAATAGTCATTAACAAAAGTCTTATAAAATACCGCCTTTGTACGTCATGGTGGTGAGGTCAAGCTTCATCCCCTAAATCCTAATTAAAGGTTTATTCCAATTAAAAAAAAAAATGGTATTAATACTAATTTTACCCAATTATTTGAGTTATTACAATTTCTTCAAAAACAAAATTGAAAATTTCCGAAGAAAAGTACGTAGTATATTTAATTTATTGCATTGTATTAGTTACAAATACGAATATAGATTAAATCAATCTCGTAATATTGTTTCTGCAACGGAAGGCTTGGAAACTTTGAATTCACTCGAAGCTGAGACATTAGTGATGACAATTAACTCTCCTCATTAGTTAATATACACATATATAGTTAAATATCTATAAATTAATGCAGTCGGAACTAGTAAAATTTTATTAATTTAGTGAAATATTAAATTACCGAACTAATAATTTAGTGGGTTTTTACCGAGTTTGTACGAAAAGAAACTATTATTTAGGCGATATTATTAATTTATCGAGATTCTACTGTACTTGATTGAGTTCAAAGTGTGATTAGTTGTCTGTATTTAGCACAAAATCCAAATTCAACCTAACAAAGAAATGATTAGTGCATGCATCTCAAAATTTGGACAAATTTCATAAAAAAAAAAAAAAAAAGTTGATCTAATTAATAATTAGTAAACCTCAAAGACTTAACATTTGAACAAAGACCAAATCTTGTACGATTTATAGCAAGTTGGTGGTTTGTTCATTGAACTTTTTCTTACATATTTTTAAACTTAACAAATGGTTTGGCGCCAATCAAGAATAAATCAAATAATAATAAAAAAAATTTTAAAAAAATAGGGACTTGAAACAAATAGTGAGCCGCACTTTGCTTGATTAACAGTCTAGTCGAGTCAAGTTGAGTGAGTAAATTATTTTTTGAAGTATATTTTAATTAATCGAGCACGAGCCTAGGCTTATATCTAACTGAACCAAAAACGATAGCAGTCGCATACTTTTATTGAATTTACTAGATAAAACTAAAGACGGTAGCTTTAGGGTTCTCGAGTTCGAGTTCAGATATATAGAAATATAACCAAATGTTTTTTATGCTTTTACTGAGGTGAATCACTTGAAATTTATATTTTTTTTACGCGTTCGTTCGAATGCATGCGGCGTCTTACATCCGAATGCAAGACCATTTATTTAGGTTGGATCTGATACCATTTTAATGTAAGGGTAAATTACAACCACCCCCCTAATTTGTACTCGTTATGTGTAAAACTACAGTTTCTGATGCACCACAATCTGATATATACAAGCCAAAAAACACATAATACGATTATCTTGCTTCAAAATGTGGAGTTTGAATGAGATAAAACGGGTACAAAAGTGATAATATTACATACAATCTAGAATTTTTCACTAAATTTGAAGCCGCAAAGGTGGACATGTAAGAAGATTTATAGTTGAGGGGTGATTGTAATACTCAAACAGAAGGGGGTTTTTGTAATTTAATTATAGCTGAGGGGTGGTTGTAAAAACATAAAAAGAAAAAAAATAAAAAGAAAAATCAATCTTGTGTTCAGGAGATTTTGATTTTACTCAGAGTTGGTAAGAAGAATTGACTAAAATGGAATATTTCAACACCGCCAAAGACCGACTCTTCCATCAATTAATTTGGTCAACTTCACGAGTTGTCCAATTTTGACACACGAGCAACACTTGCTCTTTTTTTTCCTTTTATTTATTTATTTTATTTATTTTTTCATATAAATAATAATAATAAAAAAAAAAATAGCATGAGTCGTTTCTAGTTGGAATGCAATAGGGAGTAGCCCTTATCCTCATTAATAAGGTCATATTTAAGTCTAGGGAACTCATTCATTTAAATCTTGGAGGTGGACCATATTTTTTATTTTTATTTTTATTTCTATAAATATAAATTAAATGTTTTGCTTCATTTTATTAATACTACTTCCATTTCAAATTGAGTGTCTGTCTAGACTTTAGCCATATATTTTTTTTCAATATTAAGGGTTACTTTAGAATTTCAAGGTGGGACAATTTTCTTTTTTCCAACTTTACCCTAATATTAATGAAGCTTTATTGGAAAAAATGAAGAAACACAAATGGGTAAATTTGTCAAAATAAGAAATTTTACCCCAAAATCAAGACTATTTTTATAACTTTCTTAATTAGAGTGCAACTACCTTAAGCGTCACTTAATATGAAACGAAGGTAGTACATGCCTCTCGAATTCAATACTATGACTAGTACATATAAAGGATACAAAACATTATTTGGTGACCCCATATTTTTTTTCTAAAAATTAGGGGTTCGAGGCGACTATCTTTCTTACTTTTAGTCAGAGCTGGCTCTGTACAAATAGACAAACG